GGGACCCCCTCTCCGAGCGCTGCTCTTGGATTATTAAGCGGCAACTCGTTAATAATGAATAATCAGCCCCCTCCGCCCGGTCGCCCCCGCGCTAGCCCTCCTCCCCCGGCTGCGCTCGGCTCCTGCTTGCCGCCCCTGTGCGCACTGGGCCACCGCTGGTTCAACGCGTCTAGTCGCCCCGCGCCGCTGCCTCTAGTCCATGTTCCCAGAGCGCGTCGCCACGCCGCTTAGCCTCCTCGGCCTCCGCTTGTTCTTCCTTCTCGCCTCCTCCGGCTCCTCCTCGTCACCGTCCTCGCCGCCCGAGCTTCTTCGGCGCGCGCCCCGCGCTCCCCGCGGCCGCCAGCAGCTGCAGCAACTGGAGCGGGCGCGGGCTCAGGCCGCCCGAGGCGGGAGGGAAGAAGGCTCGCGGCGCTGGCTCGCTTTGGCCCGAGGCTGGGCTGAGGGTCAGGCTGACCCTCAGGCGGCGGCCTGGCAGACACCCCTGACCCCCAGCGCGGGAGGTAGTGCCCCCTAAGCCCAGGGGCGAGACCTGGTACCTCTCTCCAATGTGCTGCGCCCCCAGCAGAGCTCCCTAGGGGTCCTGAGGAGATTGGTCAGGGCCCCATGACAGACCATTTTTCTCTAAAGAGAGCCCAGTGGAGAGGGGAGGAGTGACCAGCTGTGCACTCGATTCCACAGCTCGGACGCCTCAGGATCCTCGGGCTTCGGGAGTAAGGAGGACCCTTCTTCATAATACGCACCCTAGTTCGACCCCTTCCGATCCCTAGTTCGTTCTTCCCTTCCCCCTCACTAGGTGCTCTAGTGACCTGTGCGTGACTGGAAGGCAGGGCCACCCGGGTGGCTGGGGTGGTGGTCCGTGGCTCCGACAGCAGCAGGTGGTTTTTCTGCCTTTTCCTCATGAGGCAACAGAGGCTGCCTAAGAGAATAGGCAGAGAGGGGCAGGGAAGAGCTTGCCTCAGGAGCGCTGCAGGCTCCAATAGGCAACAGAGTTCCCTAAAGTCGCTTTCTTTTACCTAGCTTCAGACTCCATCGTGTGAAGAGGGCTGCCGGGAGAAGGGGTGCTGCGGGCTCCCTTCAAGTTCACCTTTCTCCTGAAAGATGAAGGAGTCCGGATTTACTAAGCAGCCTCTGTCCTTTCACCACCAGGGGAATCCCATACTCTCAGAAACTTTGCTCCCTCTGGAAACCATCCTTCCTTGTGCTACCAGCTGGACCACAGGTTTTCCAGTGCTAATTAAAAGGAAGATGATTACACTCTTCCCCCATTGCCCAGGTGGTTTTCCCAAAGTTTCCAGCTCATTAGTTTAAGCCTAATTGGAATCCTCAGGTTCCTTTCAGCCCTTCCTGTGATGAGGGTGAGCATCCTTCACTGCATAGACCAATGCCTTTCTGCCTGAACTAGAGCTCAGCCCTTCCCCTCTTCCTTGGAGGCCCTCAGATGCAGAAGAGGACCAGGCAAGGGAGGCTGAGCTGGGCAGAGAGGCCGAAGGAGATATTTTCAGGTTCTTCTGCTTCAATCGGAATACATTCATTAGACTCCCAGCACACATCCATTAGAAAAGTGTCAAAGCCAAGGTTCTCAAGTGTTTGGTACTCAAAAGCAGTACGTAAATGGAACTACGGACAATATTTTCCAGAAAGTGAAATCGTCTATTACCTGCTTGGTACTTCCAGTTTCCCATGCTCAGCAGCCACTCTGTCTAATCTGTCCTACATGTGCAAAGGCACTGGGTCTTACCAGCACTGAGTTGAACCGAAAGGGTCAGCTCCAGAAGTACTGCAGGATATGCGAGAAGGTGACTGTGGCCTTGAGCTTCTTTATTAGCCTTCTAAATGGTGTACTTTGCTGCCTTTGGGCCTTCATATATGTCAGGTATGTCAGGACAGTTAAGGACTTTGCTTAAATCAAGTCCAAGATTTGAAATTTAAAAATAAAACACCCATAACATAAAAATAGCAGCAAAGGATAGGATGGTTTCCCCAGGGAGATATAAAACCCCCCCAGAATGGATTCCCTGCCTCACAAATTTGACCTTTGCAAAACAATGAATCCCCTCCAGGCTTTCCTGGACTTCCACCACAGCCTGGGGGCCCTGCAACACCAGGTGGGGACAATTAGAAATGGGCCACAGTGCCTTCTGTCACCCCAAATGCAGAATCCCCAGCTGTGTTTCTCCTCCACCACCACCTTCATCATCTCATTCTTCCAGAACATGCTGGGAGGCCCCTAGACATCATTTCCTGCTCTCTCCATCATGCTGATTAAAGCTTTTAGCAACTTCTGTGTTATCCAAAACCATAGTTGTTATTCATCAGAGACCTTCACTGTCAATGTCCTACCATTCCTACAATCCCCAGTCCCTCATCACCTCCCCAAAGGCCTGACCAGTAGGTGCTGAATAAGATAGTGCCACCATCCACCACCATCTACCAGAAAGAGACCTCATCAGGCCTTTGCCTGGCTCTCTCCTCCTACTTCCTTCTCATCCACAAAATCTGTGCCAGCTTCAGAAAACTTAGCACCTAGTTTCACCCAGGAAGATGTTCTGCATAGACAAGATGGAACGTCAAACTCGAATGCTAGGTATCTTTCATTCATTGTCTCCTCATTTGTAAATTAGAATAAAAACAGGAACTGCCCTGCCTACCTCAAAGGGTAATTTCTAAGGATAAAAAAGAAAATATGCAGATTTTGTTTGTAGTTACTGTGACCCAAAAACAGCCAAAATCTGATCAATTCTTCTCACCCCCAAGCCAGTACTGAGGTGTGTGCATACACCATGCCCTGAAGGAGATGCATGCAGGCAAGATTGTTGTTCCCTCTCCCCACTTTGTTGTCCTGTACCCCAAGAGGCCCCTCATGGGAATCAGAACTGAGGCCAGTTACTCCTGCACTCTGCTGCAGCCGTTACAGCCATAGGGCCCCACAGACAGCCAAGTATGGACAGTCTCCAGGGCATGGCAGAGCCACTCCAGGCTGAATGGACCCTCTGAACCCTGACTCACATGCCCACTTATTGTCTTCCCGCTGCCTGGGGTAGCCTTGAAAATGTGAAGAGTGTGGAGAAACGCCTCTGAATAGCCAGGTGCATTTCACCTCTCGTAGGTGTGTCTGCAGACTGGGAATTAAAGGCCAGTGCACAAGAACTTAAAGTCTAAACTACAGTAGAAATTGCAACTTCCTCTGTTCTGAAAACAGTACTGGACACTTATTTATTTCTAAGTACATTTATAAGCATCTCAGAGAGGATGTCAGCCTCTTATCATGTGAACATGTGCCTGTGGCAGCTTTCAAAGCAAACCAGAGTTTCAAGTTTCTAACGAATTCTAATCTGAACAATCCCAACTGGTTTAAAAGAAAGAAAAGCACACATATAAACTAAAAAAGCAGAGTAACTAAAGTAATAGCCAAGAACAAAAAAAGCTTATTTAATTAAATGTTGGCCCGACATCATAATTAAAGCACACTGGATTTTATTTATCTGGGGCCTGGACCTAGTCCCAATATTCTTGACATAAACATTGGTGCTTTTGCTATGGAAAAGCCAGGTGGATTCTGCAAGTGATCTACCGCCCTCTGGTGACTCTTCCTGGTACATGACATCATTTTGTGAATATTTGAAGAATGGGTTTATTCAAAGGTCAGAAATTTGGTATGAAAATTCCAATGAGGAAAGTCTTGCTATAAAAATCTACAACGGGCTTACAGCCATGCCACCCTGAACAAGCCCGATCCCATCTGATCTCGGAAGCTAAGCAGGGTCGGGCTTGGTTAGTACTTGGATGGGACACCACCTAGGAAGAGCAGGTGCTGTAGGCGTAAAAAATAAAAAATAAAAAATAAAAAAAATAAGAGATTGTAAACTGACAAGGTCCTTGCAATCTGTGAGGTCAACCAAGGGTTACTACCTAAAAAAGAGAAATCTACAACCACAATAATATTAATTACCCAGTTGCGGTCCCACTAGCGTATAAACTGTTGTGATAAAGGCAGCCAATGAATTTGTATCGATACCATTGTATTGATGATTTGATGTCCTGTCCTCTAAGCTGTAACCTCCCACTCCTTCAACTACCATTGTGTTCTCTTCTGAATGGCTAATGGAACTCTCCTCACTTTTTTAATCTTTATAATCTTTTTGTGGCATAAGAAGAGTGGAAGCTATTCTCCAATTTTATAGATAAAGAAACTGAGGCTTAGATCTGTCAAGTTATTTGGCACAAGAGTGATTGATAATGAAGAAGAAAGACCACAGTGGCCCACCCCTTAAAACCAAGCCCAAGAGCTTCTGAGCCCCAGAAAGGATCATTGATTCCTAGGATGCAGAGAGGGACTCAGAAAGCAAGCTTTGAGGGGTTTATTATAAATATTGGTTTTATATTTATTTCTGCTTATAAGAATAACTCAGACTCATAAACAATTTGGAAAGCAAAACTTTCATAAA